GCAAACTGGGTTAAATTCCATTCAAAGCCGGCTTCCAGCTCTCCTCCGGCTACCAGCTGGTTCTTTTTGCAGGCAGCCAACAACTTTGGAATGGGAATGGGAATGAATGACCAGAAGTTGGTGGCAGCAACACCTCTCGCCTAATATTTGTCTTACATGGTTTTAGCCGACATTTGTCCGTCGTGCGTGTGTATTGCTTGCTTGGGGTTCGTATTCGTATTCGAGTTCGCACGGCGGCGTGAAAAACGCGACGGAGTGTGCCAGAACACGTTTTGGCCAAGACTTCAGACCCCGAGACGACTCCCCTTCCTTTCCAGCCAGCCAGCAAGTCGTTCCGCTGGTGACATTGTACCGCTAACTCGTGTTGCCACATGTGAAAGATGATTGACCAGACGCGCTCTCTTGCTGAATGAAAAAACAAAAAAAAATAATAAAAAACCCAACTGTAAATCGCATTAAGTATTTGTTAACCAGCAAAACGAAACGCAGCAGCATCAGCGTGGAAATAGCCGGAATATTTTCTCTGGTAGCCGGTGCAATCGAGTCGCAGATCGAATGTCACACGTGTGCCCCATGTCGAGTCCGTTGGCCAAAAACGCGTTTTTCGGCCAGCAAAATATACTCGGTACTCGGTACATGTAACACCCAACACACAATCGCAAAGAGGCCCCGAATCGAGCGGGTTTTTCCGCTGCCTACTGCCTGCTGATTACCAATTTTTTCGTTGCCGGCTAAAATGTCAGTTTGAGCCGCCTCGCTTCAAGTGGACACCGACTGGTTTCGGCCACAAGAGCAGCGCGCCTGGCCTTTTGGTCAAAAAGGATGTTTTTTTGGCGAGCTGGTGCGGCAACTTTCGTTGGTGTTGTTTTGTTTCCGCAAACGCCACCATTTTATTGTGGACGCTGTTATTTTCATTTTTGCCTCAACTGAAAGTGAAAATACGAGTATTTACGGCAAAAGGCAAGAAATTTGTTTGCATGCCGAGATGCTGCCGCTGCTGCTGCTGCCTGTTGACATAACCATCGATGCAATCCGATGAGGAGCCTCTCAGCTGGCCATTAAAACTGGTTAAGTAATAATAATTTGATGAGTTTCATTTGAATGCGCAGAACGGATGACTTAAGGGGGGAAATACAATTAGAAATTTTTTTTTTTCGAAAAATTTTTTTTTTGGCTTAATGTACTCCAAATATATCTGGAAGTAAGCCTTTAAAAGCATAAAGCCGTCCGGTACTTATTTTCAGAGTTATACGCAATTTAGTGAGGGTGTGTCATATGGCGGACATGCACAAAAGTAAACTTTAAACGCTTCTCCTGAAAAGTCGTGTTTTCAAAGTCGCCGTGCAATGTACAGGTCAGAGATTTTATTTTAATCGAATGCGGTTTTTTGCATTATGTTTGAAATTAAATTCTCCACGCCATGAATATAACGGTTTTTCATATTTGTTTGTTATAACATGTTTTTTTTACAATCAAAATCAAACAAAATTCGTTATTTTTGAAATTTTTTTTTTAACCTAAAATTTTTTAATGGAAAAATAATTTTTTTTAAATATGGTTTAATTCGTGGTGTGCGCTGTACCTTTAAGTTTAAAGCCCAGTTGCTTTTTTTTGTTTAAGTCGTGATCCTGGACCTGGAGACTGCACGGCGCAAAGTCCTTCCCTAAAAACACGACTCCACATTATTGATCATAAATGGGCTTAATTACAATATTTTTCAAAAAACTTGACTGATTTTTATTGCTCAATAATTACCCAATAACATGCAAAAAGAATCACTAAGATTCATTTAATACTCTACTTGCAATCCACTCCCAAAGATAGCCCTCATTTCAGGCCTTCTAATTGTATTTCCCCCCTTAACCTTCTCCTTTTACTCAAGGTTTTTGTTGGCGGCACTTCAAGTTGAAAACTGTTTAAAGTGCTAACCAAAAATTTAAAAGCATTTCCATGCTTTGAAGTAAGCAAACAGAACAAAGAAGCTGCGTGGTTTTTAAATCCGTCATAAATAATTTCTCGTTCTGATGTTTACGTTCGGCGATTGTTTATCACCCATTTGGGGGCAAATTAAACGACGTGAGTCGTTTTGGGAGGTGCCAATGAATTTCGGTGGAAATCTCTAGATTTTCTAAGCTGCTCAAAAAGCTTTTAGAACCCAATAACTTTCCCACACACGACGACCCAGATCAACGGAGGAGGGCTTCTTTCACTCGAACACCTTCCTTTTCGGATTTCGCCGGTAATTGATTATTTTGGAAGCCCATCGATGGCACGATGTATGGGTATGTTTGTGCCGGTAATTCTTTTCTCACGTCATTGCTGGCCTAAACGCTTTTCAATAAGAAAAGACCGGCTGGCCGATCGACGGACGGACGGAATGGTCTTTTGAAGCTGGCCGCCGAGCAAAAGATCAATCCACACATCTGTGGACCGAGTAGTGAGCTCTCTTTTAGCACAGTTGCAGGCCAAGTCTTTCGGACTTAGGAACATGGACGGTGGACGGTGGACGTGCCACTTTTTGGTCCACTGCACCACCGGCTGGGGAGTCAGTCGGCGCATTCGCTTTTGTCTGCGGCACGAACGGTTCGAATATTTTCGGATAAATACACGTAGCCGGCGTGCATTTTGTGGAAACTGCCCCTTTTCATCTGCAGCGCTCATTAAGCGCTTCTAAAGCATTCTAAAATGCATTTAATGGGTTAATTGTCCCGGCAAACACTCGTTGGTGGGGAGTGGCTCTTTTGACGGCCGCCTGGGATGACAGCCTGTGACAGACAGTCAGTCGGTCGGTCTGTCTGTAAGGCAGGGACTCATTTAATGCAAATCAATTTGGCAAACATGCTTAAATGCTTTCGGGCTTTATTGGTCACGCACGGCGCACAAATAATTTGGTAATTAAAGAATGAAGTACAGTGGAACTTCTTTGGTGAAAACAATTTTGTGATACATCCTACTGATAGGTATAATAATCTGTTGTTAAAAACTAAAAGAAAGCACAAAGAGCCATAACTTAATCGAATATAGAAGCAATTGGTTCTTATAAACATCCCTTCTTCGGAAGCTAAAGCAGGTTTACTTACAGAAGTTCACCTGTAAAATCAATATGATGAACGGCAGCGATTTAAAAGAGAACTGCCAAAGTCAAATATATATTTTGAGTCCATCCGGCTGGGTGTGTCAGCATTATGAGGCGATATTTTATTGCGGAAAACATATAGGTATAAAGTTAAGTATAAGTATATTGAGTGGCAGATAAGCAAATGAGCGGCTGACATGGACAGCTAGCCGAAAATGAAGTGACAGAAAGCGGAAATCGAATTCTGAGCCGCCGAGTTAAGAATCTTGGGAGCACCTCACCCACCTCTGCTCCCTTCCCTTTCCCTCCTTTCGATTGCCACATTCTGTCGCAGAGACAACAAGCCAAACAACTCATGACTTGCAGACCGCCGTGAATTGGACTTTGCCCGCTGGGCGTAAGCAAATAGCGAAAATAGCAAATGGCAGCAGAAACTTCATAAATTTGTTAACACCGACGCAAAGGCAACTGCACAGGCAAAGGCAACTGCAAAGGCAAAGGCAAAGGCAGCTAGCAGAGAATGGATTGCCGGCACAAAGCCGAAATGAGCTAAAAGCGCAACAGGACAATAAAGAATGACAATGACTTGGTTACGACTGTTGTTGATACTGAAGTTTTTATCGCTGTGTGCGGGTCGCGGCGTCGTGTGTGTCACCCACGCAACACACGTGTCCCCAGGCCCCATTTCCAGTACCCAGTCTCCCCGTTCCCCAGTATCCTATCCATCCAGCATATCGGCTTACTCACCTACAGACCGTTCTTGAGGAGATCGCAAAGGGGAATGGGAAGGGGAACTTGCGCCACAAGGAAACTTAATTTGCTGCCATTAGCAAAGAGCCGAGAAATTCGCGCTCAAGGAATAGAAGTGTGTGTCCGCTGCCTGCTGTTTGTTTTCACTGACTATTTGCCCTGCTCGACGGCATAAAAATAGAATAAAATTCAAGAAGAGTTAAACACTAGTTGCCATTGTCGACGGCGGTCCACATGTGTATGGTACGTCTACTTGTGTGTCTTGGCAGCGACTAGGGGCTATTTATTTAAGTGAATTGTGAATAATGTTGTCTGGCGCCAAGTGGCAATCCGGGCTCAGACGACGGGCTCTAAACCGAGAATAAGTCTCTCCTAAATCAAAAGTATTATCTCCGAATAAGGACGGTGTGAAAAAACATTAACTTATAAATGTTCTTTTTTATTAACTGGGAGCTTATTGGGTGACAACTTTTACAGTCTATAGTGGCTATATTTATATTTATAGTACCATTTATAAATATATTTCTGTGTTTATTATTATTATTACAAGTATTTAAGTATATACAGTATTAAGACTATACAAGTATACAAGTATTTATTTTATTTTATAAATTTATAAAGAAGTCTTTAAGTTTTCCATCAGTGTAGTAGGATGTACAGAAATAGCACCTACACGGGACCTTCCGGCCAAGCCGGTCCAAATGACATTTAACCCTAGTGAGGGAGGGCGTACCTAAAACCCAACCCACATCCAAAAGGCAAATTCAATTTACAATTTTAATTGTGATTGCAGACATCTCTCGTTTGCTAACCGCCGACCGTCAAATTGCACTGGACCGAGAGCAGAGATATTCAGACCGGTTTATTGATTTTTCATTTGGTCTGCAGAAATCCGTGAAAACCACTTTGCTTGTTGTCTCACTTGTTTCGATGCAATGCAATTATCCTCCGGCCATCGATATTTGCTTTGCACTCGCCGGCAACTTTCCACGCGAACTTGACCCTGGAACATTGAAAAATCGCATACTTGGTTTCAGTTAGCCGTGTCCTCACATTTTGCACTTGAGTTGTCAGCGCCGGCAGAACGAACGATTTATGGATCTGCCACTTACTACAAGCTATATAAATTCATGTATCTGATTTTGGCAATGTTTTTCGGATTCGTTTTTTCCAGGTCACACATCGTACAACCGGCCAGGTGATGGTGCTCAAGATGAATCAGTTGCGGGCCAATCGACCCAATATGTTGCGGGAAGTGCAGCTCCTGAACAAACTCTCCCATGCGAATATACTGAGGTAAGTGTGAAACAATATCATACGACTGATGCTAGAGTCCAGCTTATCGGGAAAGAATAAGCGCTAAATATAGCACAGAAAAATATATTCAATCTAATCGCCAGTAAACAATAACATAAATATGGAAGAGCATCATCTTATGGGTCAATGCCATGCCCTCCTTTTTCTGACTCACTCTCCGATTTTAATTGCAAACTTGACTGCGGCACTCGTGAATGGTTGTTGTTGTTGTCGACTCTAAATGAGCTACACTCGTATGTACACAAAAGTATTCCCTTAGCTTTTGATGATCATGTGGTCCGATTTGTGTTTACGCATTCAGTTCGCACCTCGTCGCGAATTGACCATTCATTTAAATGGATTACGTAAACAATTTAATGGGTTCAGTGCGCGGGGTCTTTATTTTGAATTCTACGCAAATAATGTTTAGAGAACATCAACATGTCAGATTCAATTCAGTTTTGCATATTTTACCCTCGATTTCAGTAGTTGTTAGGGGGTAAAAGCTGCTGGCATCATCAAAAACACTGACCTATGCTAAAAACTCAAGCTGAAAACAGCTTTTGTATACGAGTTGTGCTGGGGTATGATTCACTTTTCAGTGACATCTGCTGCTCACGAAACTGACATCATTATGGATATGATTTTTATTGAAAATGTGTGTGCTTTCAAAGTAATGCCTTGCAAATATTTACTGTTTACCGAAATGAGATTGGCTTGTTATGGTTTTTGGCGGTTTGTTTATATTTTTCGGTTGGCCGTTTGCTTTTAGCATTTTAAAGAGCTCCAGTTGGAGTTCAGAGCGGGTTCAAGACCAAATCCGCACAAAACATTTCCGATGCCCGCGGAAAGGTCAAGTTCACGGGCTGCTGTTGTTGCACCGACTTTTCTGTAATTACCTTGGCAGTGACCAGGTGTGTTTTGGCTTTCAGAGGGGGCAAAAATCAAGGGGCAGAGTTTGGGGGACCCTCGCACGGGTCACACAAAACGAAAAAAAAAATAACTGCTGATGTAATTGGCTGAGTGGCAAAGTCGAAAAAATATGGCTAAGGCTCATGACATTGTTGTCTGTCTGGCCTGACTAGATTTAATTGCCAAGCTGCGTAGCTTACTCACTTTGCTTGATTTTTTTTTGTTCACGAATTCATTTATACTATTTTTTGTGATTTTTTCTGATTTTTTGTTTAATCCTCACGTGACTGCACGCAACAATGAGTGTCTGATGGCAGCGACTTCCAATTGTATGCAATTCTCAGGGACTTTTTGCGGCTGCTGTTGCTGTTTTCTATTTAATCTTTTTTTTTTTTTTTGTCGTAAATTGCCAGTCAGACAGAGAGACCAATCCATTTTGCACCGCCCATCTTTTCCTGTTTGCTGTTTGCCATGAATATGCAATTTCTGGCTTAGACCTTTTCGGTCCCGCCCTTTCATTAACAATGTTAACACCCCGAAAATGGGAGAAGACATGTCTTCTATTGGCTGCCATTCTTCCCACAACATTGTGTGCTCGCCTGCAGCCATTCAAACTTTAACCTCATAATCCGGGAGAATCCGTTATGGCAACGTGTCTAAATCTCCTCCAGAACTCCTCCAGGCATTTAAGAGCCCACCTGATTTTATGACATCTGTCATCGGCGGCGGTTTTCCTGGCCCAAAAACAGCTGAGTGAAACGTGCGGCGAATCGTAGTCGGAGAATTAAATGCAACTACGGATTCTGTTGATTAAATGCCCTGGCCAACTTACTTCGCTGTGTGCCCGGATCGTTGAGAGATGGATTTGGGTCAGCGGACCAGCCAGCCAGCCAGCCAGAATTAACAACAACAACAGCAACAACAAGAGACAGCAGTGCACAGTCTGCAGCTGCCAACTTTTTCTTTATTCTCGTAGGCATTAAATGAAAATTCTGAAATCGCTGGAATGCAGCTATGGCGCCATAGGCCGACTGGATAGAGAAATTAAAATTCAGCCACACGCATTTAGTTCTTTGTTTTATGGATCCCCAGCAGCAAAGCTATTTATACGTGGGCCAATTAATTCGACACTGGGAAAACAAGTAAATCCAATCAAACTAAAAGGGGATAAATGGCCTTAAATGAGATTCTATTGAAAAAAAGCCATATTTATAGGAAAAAGAAGAGGAAATATTTCTTAAAAAAAGTAAAGCTCACATAAAACGTTTTATAGAAACCATAAAAAACCGATGGTTTTTGTCTTCTTTAGTGATTACTGTCACTTCTTATTTAACAGCTAGCTACTCAGTCGTATATTTTTGGGAAGTTCATTTTAATTACCTTAAGTATAGCTTTTCACAAGTCGCTTAATGGCTTAGTTATTTGCCTCAGTGTATTCGTATGCTGGCTACTTATGTTTCTATAGTTCCACCCGATTGAACCCTGCTTATATCCGCAATCCTCGATCCCCGATTGTGAGTTTATCAGTGACGTGGATCGCTAAACACTCCGCTCCCAACTCGACTAACTGACTGACTAACAGACTGACTAACTGACTGACTGACTGGCAGCTAGTAGTTAGTTAGGCGCTGCTCTCGTTGGCGGGCATGTTTAATGATGCTTAACGATCGCGGCTGTCGGCTAACTGTCAAATTTTAACAGCTACACCGTTGGGCGTCCATGCGGGCCAATGAGCCACCGCCTCCCATGACGGACTTCCAACATCCCCGATACCCGATCTCCTATCCCCGATCCCTCATCCGAGATCTGAGATCCGGCTAATGAAGCCTATTGATTGGCGGCTAGAACTAGCTGTACCGTTGCATCCAACCAACCCATCCCATTCCATTCCAGCCCATCCATTTTCCGCCTCCCCGCCTTCTAAGTTTAATGCCAATGCAGTCGAGCGTCAATAGAACTAATCTTCGGGTAATTGAAACCACCTTTCTAGCCGGCAGCATGCCGTACGCCCAGCCACATGCCGCCACATATAGCAATAGTATGCTATATAGTATACAGCAACCCACCCACGCCCGAATCGGTGACTTATTGGCCACAAAACTGAAACTGAAACTCTCACACACTCGACTGAGTAGCTGAGTAGTTGCCGTTGGCGGCGTGTATTTTTTATGGGCTTATCACGCGCCCGCCGTAATGCGGAATGTCGCACAATGAGAACGCAGTCGAGCAGCCCAACAACTGAACAACTGAACAGCCAGCCAGCAAGTCAGGCAATTGCAATTGCATTTGTCCCACCAGCTCCACCACTTTGCCCCTTTTCGGCCCACTGGAACACCCACCCACCCACATGGCTTGTAGCTGTCGCCGCTCCCAGGCAGCCGCCAACTTGACAGATAGTCACTCTACTTACCAGCAGCTCCATGCACTCAGAAAATAGTCAGGCACTTCTTGGTCGTAATGTATTTGGTTTCACTTGATGCAGTCTTAAATTTATTGGACTTTTTTAATTTATGGTCAAACTTTAATTACATTTCTTGCATAACAAGTTTATGTGTGATTAAGTTTGTAAGCTGTCGATAATGGATAGTTTGCTAAGATAAATTGATGGACATTTATTAACCATACAAGTCAATAGAGTTTAGTTCATTAAAATACTGGTAATAAAGAAAATATGTTTATTTTTGTGATATAAGTTTAAAGGTTTCCTTGTACCTTAAATTAAAACCCAACCAAACAACACAAGATGAAGATATATAGGTGTACTCAACTTGCTAATGTTAATTTAATAAATAATTCTTGACAGTGCATTATGTGCATTGTTTGACTCACAGATCCCATTGCTAGTTGACTTCCATTGAGTGCCTTTCTCGAAATGTAAACAAAAGGCGATGGCGATGGTGGCGCCCGGGTTCTCTACGCTTTTTGTTTTGCCCCTCGATTTCGTTTTTTATTAACTTCGCTAGTAACAGACAGCGAGCAGGGGAAAAGCAAACACGCTGCCTTTGCCTTTGCCTTTGGCTCAGAGCCATTTAAACGCTCATTTAACGCGACTAAGCCCGAGTGAGACATGTGACAGTTCAGTTCTTGGCCCGGCTCATTATGGCCACAAACAATGGTAGAAATTCCGCAAAAGCCGCCGTGTTTCTCTGCCGTTTCTGCTGCTTTGGCGGCACTTGATCTTTGCGCCTGGCTGCGATGCTAAGCAGGTGATAAGTTGTGGGCAAATGTTGACAAATTGTTGGCATGCAAATGTGCGCGGGTTAATGACTTTAGGTGTCGCTCGTTTGGACCACCTCACCAGCTCTCACGCTTCCGCACGAGTTGTGCGGTGTTCAAAGTTCAGCTTTGACCCCGATTTCCAGCTACTTGGGCAATCCGCGCAGAAGCTATTGATAAACCCGATTGCGGCATGAGTGGAACCTCTAAGGTCAGATTGCACTTAATTGAATGCATCGATTGCCGAGTCAATCGAGCCACTCATCTGGCGATGGCGATGAGTCGCGTCCCGCCGCCAAGTGAAGGTCGTCTGTGGTGGGGGAATACCTACATATAGTATATATTGTGTAGAAGATGCGATGCGATGCGATGTGGTGTGTCTGCCACAAGCATCCATTTTTCGAGGGGCCAGTGCACATTGTTCGGCGTCTCTTGGCCTCCCGGCCACTCGGCCATTATTTGTCTTGGCTTGATTTGTGTGTCGCCGAGCGTTGGCGGCTCATTTCTGTCCCCTTTTATGAAATGAAATGCTTGCCAATAAACTGAGATGGCTGGCCTTGAAACGAACGGATCGGGCGCCCAGTGGCACATTGTCGGGCTAATGAAAAGATTGCCGAGAACGAGCAAAAAAAAGAAAGGAAAAAAATTGTTGACAATTTAATGAGCATTTTATTGTGCAAGATGGGGTTAAATTGGCCATTCATGCGCCGACCCGACGACTTAAAGAGAATTTCAAATTTCTATTTCAGAAAATCACAAATCCTCGCATACGACTATATAATTATGGGCATAATGGGGGATTTAGTGTCTGGCCGAATTGAGTCCTTAATTTCTAGCCTCTGGTAGATTGTACAGTTACCAGACTCCGACAA